GTGGTTGTTCATTTCTGTGTCTGTCATTGAAGGGCTGTCTGGCACGGTGGTCGGAACACGTTTCTAGAATCCCAATACATTCACGCTGGTGTACGTCGGCTTCTGTAAATTGTGGATTTGGGCAATGGCAGCAGCAATGAAAAGTCCCCATTTTGAGACATTTCAAAATGTTCGATATCTACAAAATGTCACCTTACATGGGAAAGAGAACTTTAACATCTCACCCAACAATATCGTGAAGCAGCAGGAGTGGCACAGTGGAACCCATGCAATGTGAATCTGTGGCATTCTGCTAATCACGAGGCAATGCAGTCACCAAAAAAACCTCCCGTGTAGCCTTACCAGACTCTCAGGGCAAGTGCTGTTAGCGAGCACTTAGGAAGGTCGGCGAAGCACACGAGGGGGTTGGTGGCCAGCATCACGCCCCGGCCGCCTTTGTCTCCCTCGTGGCGATGTTCTTACACATCGCGCACCAATTACTCATTTCTGACTGAGTCGACCGAGGGGAGGCCCAGGACTTGTGCAGAAAATCGTCAACGATGTTTTGCCGTGAGCGTGAATCGAAGACGGGTCGCAGGGTTCGTAGCGCGATGCAATGCAACCACCTCAACACGAGAGAGAAGAGTGCGGTGTGTGTGTGGTTCAGGCCTCATCAATAAAAAATGGGTGAATGAAACGGCTCTTGGTTAATTCATGCCCCTACGTCGCACAGGGGCCTCGCTGTGGCCGCAGTGTCAGCCAATAGAACAAAATCACCCTAGGCTGTGCGTGGTGGTGGGGAGCGGTGGCGCACAGTGGTTATAGCGCACCGCACCCACAGACCCATCCGCTGGAGTGTAATTGTCCACAGCCACGGCTAACGTCAGTGGCAAGCGATACATGACGTAGTTCTAGGCCTCCCTTAGTGTTACTCAAGTCTTTAATGAATAGCTCAAGCAAGGTACATCGGCACTGGGGGAGACAAAGGCGGCCGGACGTGGTGCTGGTCACACCATCCTCTCATGCTCCATGCTGGCATTCATAGGGGCCAGCTAACAGCACACGCACCACGAGCCTGCAAAAAAGTCTACATGGGGGATCTATGTCTTAGTTTCTGGAGTATGGCTGGTGAAGTGCTTTGCACACTGCACATTGATCCCCTTGACCGTTCAATTCCTCGTCATTTACAATATCTTCTGAACTCGTCCTGGGTCTTCCTTAGGTTGACTCAACCTTCAATAAGTACCCTGGTGTGATGTGTAAATATTGGCACTGGGGAAGCCAAAGAGTGGGCTTGGGCATCGTGCTGCCTTTTACCATTCCACAACAACACTTGGCCCGATGAGAGTTAAAACTATACATTTTTTTTGTGTAAATGTTATCAGGTAAGGCCCACTGAGCTGCTATATAGCTCTTTTTCAGAAACGACCTGGCCACAAATGATAGCTCAACGAAGTGGCTTATCACGTGGAAATTTAAAGCAGCCAAACACTCGAAACGCGTGTTTCTAAATGTGGAGGGAAACACCGTAGGACCCGGAGAAAAATCCACGCGACCACGGGGAGCAAGTGCAAACTCCCAATATACAGCAGCAGGCGTCAAGGTCGGGATCGAACCCACGACCTCCTGGATATCAGGCGAGGTAGTTAGCAACTTGCCACGGTGGCGAGATGTTTTACGTCTGAAAGTGTGACCATCGTGCTGGTCCTTGTTTACCTGTGACTGATTAAATGTCAAGGTGGCAAAAGAGACTTTGATTGAGATTGGCACCACCCCCCCTCTCTCCCGTCCTATTGCGCTCCCACACAACGCGTTGGGACTCCTTCCTCGAGTCCACTGCCGTGGTGCAGTTCTCATATCGGGCATGCAAATCAGCGTGTCAGGGCCATCGCGTATGCATTTGCAATAACCTTTTAATTTCTGCAACAAAGACTTACGACGGTTCGGCTACACGAGCATTGACTTAAGAACGGGCGGAGCTGGCAACGGTGCAATTTCAAGCACCATTGATTTTATTTAACTTCCTGAAACTTTGTGAATTACTGAGCAACATTTCTATTAAATGATGCACAGTAGAGCGCTGCACACGGAAACAATGCAGAATGGGAGCTGTACGTGCGTGAGCATTGTATTGAGCCTGTGACCGCCCAGATCTCGTCAAGAGCTCTCGGAAGCTGAGCAGGAGCTGAGCCTGGATAACGCTTCAGGCGAGCATCATACGCAACATGTGTCGTAGCCTTCTGAGGAGCTAATGTTGTCAGCAGATGGTCAGACGTTCCAAATGCGTTGTTGTACTGTGTTATACTCAACGTCTATGCGGCCCACCTGCACCAACCCGCACGGAGAAATGCGCTTCCAACAATCCTCCACGACCCATGTGGCGTGGATGGGCCCGCATCGAGCAGTGGATTGAACAAGAGGCTGCACGCGAGAAAACGTGCACACCCGTGTGGATTGTATAACGATGACTTATTTACTGACCCCTCTTCACTCCCTGTTGAGCATAAGGCCGCAACAAGCCCACGCCATGCCGGATGGTCTTTAGCAGCTTTCTTTGCTTCACCCCAAGACAGTCCCCCCATGGTCTTTAGTTGTATCGTGATTGGAGAGTGTCATTTGGCAACGGTGCTGACCTCTGAAGCCACGAGCTTGGGAGTAGATAGCAACCGAGTGGAGGTGCCAGGACCATTGGAGGGCCCAAAAATTAAATTATTCACGGGTGCTTCACGTTGCTGTAACTCTCATATGCCGGACAAGCTACTAGATGACTCTGTTGTATCATTGCCCTGTGCAAGAATGAGGTTAATAGACAAGTTACAATTTATATAATTTGAGTAGTGTTATTCGAATGAAGAGTTTTTTTTTAAATATATAAAGTTGATTTGAAATTTAGTGTACCCCTAGTTTTGCAAGTGAATCAGGCGGCCCTTTGAGCTTCCTGGGGGACCTCTGCTTATGTCGAGTGTCACCACTGGGAACGCGTTAAAATTCCACGTCTCAGTTAGTGAACCATGTGATGATAATAATGGGCGCCATGGTGGCGAGATGTTAACTACCTCGCCTTGTATGCATTAAGTCTTCGGTTTGATCACGACACTGATGCCTGTATATTTGGAGTTTGCATGTTCTCATCGTGGTCACGTGATTTCTTTTCTCCGGGTCCTCCAGTTTTTCCCTGCACATTTCAAAACGTGCGTTTAGAGTATTTGGAGGCAATACATTTCCAAACAATAAGCCACTTCGTTGAGCCATCATTTGTGGCCAGGTTGCTTCTGAAAGAGAGCTACGTAGCTCTGTGGGCCTTGCCTAGTAAAATACAAATAGTGAGTTTGCTCCGAGAGTAGCACGACTAACCCTGTCCAGCCCGTCGTTCGAAATGTGGTCCATTGTTTGGTTCGGGTGGCCACAGTCGCTGCACTGTGGAGTCACGCTTAATGTCCCGCTTGTGGGAGAGGTGTGCGTGGCGAACGGTCGTCATTCTGAAGCAGTTGGCGGTGGAGCCACCACAGTTTTCCTAGCAAAACAGAGCCACGTGGATAAGTGGTGGGGCCCTCGATGAGGCTTTTTGGAAATCGGCCTTTTTGGAACCTGTTTATATATATGTGTGTATATTGCACTTCTTTCGCACCGTCTAGCCAACTGTGCTAATCGGAGGTGCGGGGGAAGGGCAACAAATGAAACACAAAAAGCAGTTGTAAATAAATTAGTTTTCATTCTAGATTTAAAAGTGCATAGCTCCAGTGGCTTCCAAATTTTCGAAGGAAGAGCGTTCCAGATGGGTGCAGAAGCACATATGAAAGTGCGTGATGCAGTGACCGTCTTTGTTCGATGGTTAGCCACAAGCTGCTCTGAGGATGACTGGAGTTTGCATGATGATTTATGCTCTTTGAAGAGCTCAGCAAGGTACATATATACATCAATAAATGCAAAAATGTACAACAAACTATATTCATCAAAAGCTGAGAAGTGTATAAAACTGACAAATGTGGTCATGTTAAAGGAGGCAGAGCTACGTTTTTTACGTGCTGCTGAAAAAGCCGTGTTTCACAGTTGTACGGCGGGTTCTAATGTTTTTCAGTCAAAGATTTTGACTGTTACGAGATCATCCTTAATGTGATCACCTTTGAAGATACAAACTTAGTATGGTGCCGAATGAGCGAATGGACAACTGACGGAAGCGTGGATGGCACAGAGAACAATTAAAACTGAAACTAAACACAAGAGAACAATACATATTCTTAGTCCGGACATAAAAGCACGGATTGTCACGGCTGAGCGGACATCAGTTGGCAGAGACTGTTCTACACCACCAGGGGGAAGGTGGCTGCGCACGGAACATGCGTTTAGATCGTTCATACAAAAACACTCCCACGTTCGCTCGTGATAGACCGCAGAAGACAAGCACTGTTAGCGAGTATCCGTCAAGGCTGACAATGCACATTGGGCGTCACGGTGGCGAGATTTTATCTCCCTCGCCTGGCATGCAGGAGGTCGTGGGTTCGATCCGGAGCCTGATGCCTGTTGTATATTTGGAGTTTCCATGTTTCTCTCCCCGTTGGTCATGTGGATTTTTCTCCGGATGCCCCGGTTTTCCCTCCACATTTAGAATCACGCGTTTATAGTATTTGGCTGCTATAGATTTCCACGTGATCAGCCACTTTGTTGAGCTATCATTTGGGGTCAGGCTGCTTCTGAAAAAGAAGCGAATAGCTCAGTCGGCTTTACTTGGTAAAATATTATTTATGAGTGATTTGCTTACCGTGCTATACTTTGCACTCCTATCGTGTTTTTTAAATAGTTTCTTGCTGTAATGTTCTGACCCGCCCCGACTGGACATCTTTGAAAAAGAGCTTTACAGCTCATTGGATTCCTCCCATATAAATAAATATTCTGAACTCTGCTCTGCCGTCCTAAGCCGAGTGGATGTCACACACAGCAAGTCCATACCAGATATACCATGTCTATATTTAAACGTATGGTTTTTTTATATTTGCGATTTAACGTTACGTGCAAATCAATACCTGAGACAGCAAAATCAGGACGGAGACAAAAATGGCCAGTGGCAGACGGTCTCCGATCCACAGAAAGATGGCGTGCGTGCACCCTCGCACGTGAATCACTTCCGTGAGCTCCAGCCGCTGCGGAAGGCACGCAGAGACGCACAGCGCAGCACACGGTTGCAGGTGACAACGTGCCGCATGTGCACTTCAGTCAGGCCCGAAAAGCGTACGGCAAAGCCACGTAATGACAAAAAACGAAGTATTTCATTACGTCATTCGGTGACGCTGCATTGGCGGTCGGGGTGCACATCAGCATGATTTCACGGAAACACTCAACCGACTAGTTAACTACACTGTGTGGCCTTAGAAAAGGAAAAAAATATAGATAGCAGGCGACGTTTTGGGAAATGGTCCTTCATATATTTTTACGTGCTATGACGAAAGGGCAATTGCGCAAAACGTCGCCTGTTATATACGGAGGGTCGCCCAGACGGTAATGTCCCACCGGCAAGGAATACATCGCTCTCGTTTCTTGATGGTGCAAAATCATTGAGTTTAATATGCTTTCGCGACCAATATTATCCATAATAACGTTTGTTTCTTGGGTTAGATAGCGAAAATTTAAACACGTCGTGAAACCCGCCATCATCCGACGCAGCCAATTAGTAAGGTTTGTCACGTAAACAAAACGTGCCAATCAGTTGCTACTTGAGCAAACTGGCGCATTGAAGGGTAAACTGACAACATTTACAATTCGAGTACGATGTTTCGCTGGCAATTACAATCAGCTTCATCAGGCGATAGCCAGAATTGAGAAGAAATCCTCCTGTGTCGGTCCCATTGCAATGGAACAGGATTTATATGGGAAAAGTAGTGCACATATTAACCAATAAATCTGTCAATTCCATGGGTAGGTTTCACTTTTCTTTAACGCATTTTGCCCGAGAAAAAAGAAGTAGGGCATTACTTTCTGAGCGCTCCTCGTGTATATATAGTTATTCTTTTAAGGCAGTATTATTGACCAACGTGTTGAGATTCAACGTCGTAATCAGTCAGGAACCAAGTTGTTATTATGACGATGCTTTAGCAATCATAATAATACGTGAGCTCACAGCCAATGTAGGATTCCATAAGCATATGTATCAATCACCTGACAATCATGGACGATATATTGTTTTATTTCAAGGCAAACACAACAGCGTGGCCTATTTTCAGGCTTGACTGACACTGGTGTCTGATCATTATCTTAATATCCATGCCATATCCAGTTGACTTTGAGACCTGTGCGATGGGCATGATCATCACGATCTGAATGATTGTGAAAGTTTTAGTAAAAAAAAAAGATTTTGAATGTGTCTCCAATAACACGTGAGCTGATGTATTCGTAATAAAGAACATTGTATTTTCCATGAAATAATTTATTAGTACTCCTGAGAATATTAATGCAGCTTTGTATGTGTCATGTATTTAAACGAGGAGCATCTCTATATGATGTACAGGGACAACTAGTTAAATCAAATAATACATAGGAAACATCGAATAACATAGACTAGCCACGATGACCAAAACATGAAAAATAAGGTTAATTATAGATATTTTAAGATAGATACTAACTTACAAAACAACTGGTAATGCATCTGTGGGTATTCATTGGCAGGGCCAAACCCTGTGCTACTTGCTACACTCTCCCTCAGAGCCAACATCGACCCTCGGATGAGTTAATGAAAACTGGTCAAGAAAAACCAAAAATCATTACAACAATGTTTTAGTGTGAGAAATGGCACCGTAGATTCTTAAGAGCACGATCGGTTGAACGGTGGATCAGGCTGGGGCAGCTTACGAAAAAACTATCAATCACTGACTAAAAGTGTTGTACTTTATTAAGCCGGACATTGGGTGAAACTATACACCTCTGAATAGAAAACAGTCAAAAGTAACATGCAGCTGACCTAGAGGCCACCGTTTAAAATTCTATATTTCCATGGTAGGGGCAATCTCTTCGCAGGACAATCGCTGCTGACTTCGCACAAAAACAGTGTTCATTTGTATCAGCCCTCAAAGGCATTATGGGACGAGTGGATCTCGGACTAGCAGCCACTGCAATTAAACTTTTAGGAAACCTGTACGCAAACAAAAAAAATGCAAGTTAAAGTGAAAATAATTGTTAGACGAACCTCTTTATGAAGGATGCCATAACCACAGTGTGAGTTCAGCAGTGCCCCAGGGTTCTGTAATGCAGGCACAACGCAGTACGAGAATGGGTTAGATTATATTACGCAACACCCAAGCTTTACAGTCTGAACAATCCGACACGCATGGGCAGAGCAAGGCGTTCCTACATTACGAATCTGCATACAACAACCGAGCCACAGGTCGCACTGACGAAGAGGCCAGAGGCGACATCATATGCCAGCACACAAAAAACGCCTCAACGGTTCGTCCTGTGTAGAAACTCGACTGTGCTTTTACTCCATTCAGCGGTGTCAGCGAATGGTCCCTAAACAGAACATTACAGGCAAGCCGCAGTGCTGGATAACAGCAGCCTCACTCCACAAATACAAATGAAGGCGATAGATGGCAGCAAGTCTGGACTGCGGCCGATGTCAAAAATAAACATCTCACACAGGGACCCCTACCGTCGAACCTCCCGGGTTCAACCCTCCACGCCGCCAAAAGTCGACCATCAACCGAATCAGGACCGGGGGGCCATGTGGCCGACGCGGCCAACCGATGCCACAAAGAGATTTGGCGGCCTGCGAGTGGTGCGGTCACAAATCCCAAAACCGTCGAGCGCCATCGTGAACACTCCGTCGCTGCCGCTGCTGCTGCCTTCACTCCTTTAGAGGAGTGGATGCTGATCCACTCTGCGCCTGAACGGGCGATTGAGTGGATACCAAATCTAAAATGACATTTAATCTGCTGCTATTAATCCATACGAAAGAAGAAGTGCGATTGTGGCCCTGCAACCCACACTATGGGCCGTATAGTGAACCACTGTAGTCTCCGCTCCTTCAATGAAGGAGGAACAAACAGCAAAACGGCACAAATTATCTCCTGAAGCCCTCTCGTGGCGATGAAACCTCAACATTGGCATTCAGCTCCTGAACATATATTTCCATATGCAAGAATAGAACACAGTCTAATTTATAAACAGCACAGGACTGCGCCTACCCAAATGGCAGTCTATACAAAATGCATTTTTTTCTTCATCACCACCTCCGGAATAAGCAAATTAATAATTACTGGAAGCAATTCTATTCTTGAACATTGTAATATTTTCAGGAGCTAAATACCAATGTCGAGGTGTGCTTGCTATGATAGGGCTTCTGGGAAGAGTCGTTTTGCTATTCCTCCATTGAAGGAACCTCACCCGATCGCTTTTTGGCACTTAAATGGGCGGAATTAATTTCGCCAAGATGGACGGTACTAGTTGTGTTCAAGGTGACATGAAAACACACGTCAGAGGTGAGGCCACCGCGACAAGGCGACCGTCTCCCACCCATCAGAAGCAAAGATCCATGGCCACGGCAGGATGAAAGCCTCCTCAAGCCAGCACGATGTCTCACGGCCTCGCGATGCAACAGCGGATTTCATCGCCTCGCCTTTCGCTGTGAACGTCCTGCCCTTTGGCTGCCGCTCCACTGCTACTCTCAACAACCGGTCGTCATCCCTTCGAGCGATGGCTCCCTGCTCAGGCCCACTTGCTTTTCTTGACGGCCAATGATACTTCTGACCCGTATGTCAAAGCAGGTAGAATTGGCTTTAAATAAATTGCCAAAACGAATACTGTATTTGCAAGTGGCAGTCACGGTGTATCTGCCGTGAAATGAGAATGCAGCAGTGCTAATCACATTTGGTGGTCATGAACTATTGGGTGGAAGTTCCACATTCCTATGCGAAAAGAGAAGTTCAACATACATAGAGGAGCCAGTCTCTCCATAGCAGGACCACACTGGTGACTTCACACATGGTGGTATTCATATTATCAACTCTGCAGGGCTGATGCACTGAGTGGACTCCTGACCAGTATTTGAATTCACAACCTTCCAACTGGCGGTTGAGTCCCCAATGCTACAAGGCTGGATGAAAGAGATTATGGCCATGTATAAATAACACAAAAATGTGATTAAGTATGAATGCCCGTGACACACGCACACCAATTGCCAGTGGTGTTATTCGTGGCCAGAACTTGAAGCCACTGTTGCTAGGTTTTGCAGCGAGGATTCCTAACGAGAATGCCACCACTCGTTCCGCCAGAGGCGCTTGTCCCAGCTGTCAATAATGATGAATCGTGATCTTTGTCTTTGTCTGGGCTGATCAGCACACACACATTCACTATGGCTGTAAACAAGCTATGAGTGTGTGTGTATTCCCCAACCAGGGAGAAACTAAATAATGGATAGAACTTCTTGTATTTTGCTTACTGTGTAAGAGTAAAATAAAAGCATTGCAGCTCGAAGAAAATACATTTTTTTTAAACAGACACGTTGGTCGAAGATTTTACCTGAAAATTACTTCTTACAAATTCTAGGAATTTTATTCCAAAGTAACAAGGGCCACGACAAAATCTCATCCCAACACAGTGCAGTAGATTAGATGCATTATCCAGTGTTTACTTTCACATAGTCTACAGCCCGTTTGTAATAAAAATGGTAAATAGTGGTAATGCTAGGTCTTGTACCAATCACACATGCAAAAGCCAACAAATCAATTTTATCGTCATTGTAGAGAATACTAAAATAATAAAATTAACACGCGGGAAATTTGTCTTGGGTAATCTCCACCTTTCCACGTTATGACTCAGGCGAGGCTGACTCTGCTGAGTCGAAACCGGTCCAGCGTTTTGCTTGCCTTGTAACAATGCAGCTGAAAGTGACGCACTCCCAGAAGGCTTGTTTAAGACATATTTTAATGTATTATTTACGCAGAGAGATGGACTTGTGAAGGAGACGTATTGTCTGCTTATCTATGTTGTTACTCACGTAAGATCACATTCACTCTTGTGTAAGGATTCAAACTAAGATCGGCTATAATTGGTTTCTCTTTGCGGTTAACCATGAGGTCATCTATGGATACTCCAAGGTGACATTTCTTTACTCAAAAGGGGAATGACAGCCTTATCATGCTATAGTAAAGTATAGAGGGAGTAGTGGGAACATTGGTAGCGTACTACGGCTACGAACCTGGACACCCGAGTTTGATTCCTGGCCATGGCTGACATCAGATGGCTTGTGATATCTGAACCAGTCCTTGGCAGTCCCATTCACCAGCCTGAACCGACCAGCTTGGTAAGATTTGGTCAATCAACCACTATGACTGACATGGTATGTGGGGAGACCTTCATCCAGCAATGGACTGACAAAGGGACAAATGTGTGGTGTAATTTGTTTCTGAATGTTATTGTTCCCAGCCCCTCTATGATTCCAACTGCCACTCGCTGTGCCTCCTATCAGCCCCCTGCCAAACTACCAGGCCAAGCCAACCACCCATACCACTTCGATCATCTTTTGCCCATGCACTTCTGCATTTTCAATTTGAATCTTAATTTGCTTTGAATCGATGTTTTACATGGCAAGGAGGTTCTGATCCTGTCAAGAGCACAAGGCCCCCCCCCCCACCGTGTGTGTATCATCTCACCGTCTGCATCACTTCACCTCTCTGCTTTCAGTCATAATCGAAGGGGGTGTGTGTGTGGGGGGGGGGAGTGAGTCACATGGCCTGTCGGTAGCATGCTCACCACTTTCTGCGGAGGTTCACGGTTCAAATCCAGCGGCCGCCCATAATACGACCGGGAGTGTATTTATTGCAGTGGTTATATGTCTACGTGCCGTATGGACGTTAAAAAGTAGGCCATTGTGTGCTTGCGTCATTAGCCAAGTTTGAAATTACTCACTTGAAATTATAGCTACCTCTCGTTTTACGCGGGGGTTGTGTTCTTACAAAAACGGCGTGCAACTCAAAATCGCGCAAATTAAACGTAATTTTCATATTAGCAATAAAGGAAATGGTTGGGGTTAGGGAGAATATGCTATCGAACTTCATTCTTACGTACAGATATTTCAAAGGTTACAGTTCATTTAACATTTCCAATACTACCACACATGCATTAAAGACAGTAACGGCCTATTTAAAAGAACGATTTGGAGGCATCCTTGGATGTAGCTGGACGTTTACCGGACATATTGGTAGGCAAAAGTATGCACGAGACAAAGATCACGCGCGGGATGAGATCTTCAACACGGCGCGCGAGCGGGAGATGCTGATGCTGCCCATGCTCGTCGTTGTTGTTGTTGTACTGCACCTCCGGCAGCATCGCTGCTGAACTTCTGCTGCCTGCCTAATGACGAGCTCGCAAGCGCGTTCCCGTACACCGCGGCCGACAGCGCCGGAGCGCGTTATTTCAACAAATGTGCATGCATCACAAAAAAATAAGCGTCAGTTAATCCAACGCACTATTTCAAAATCGCGTTAGGCAAATCGAGCGTAAAACGCGGGGCGACTGTACACATAGCAATTCATTGCCGCCTACTGCAAACAACGTGGCAGAACCCTCCTGAGAAAGAGCCATGATAATCTGTGAGGCTTTTCTGGGTAGCCAAGCAGCATAAAAATAATTGACCATAGTCAATCCACTGCTGGATGAGGCTCTTTCCAGGTCACTCCCTTCAAGTGACTTCATCTATTATGTTTGTGTAGCATTCACCGAAGGTCCACGGTTGATTTTGACCTGACACTAGTTACTCCATCGCCTTGCGATGAATATGTCAGCTGTAGGGAAAGTTGGGAAAGTTGGAAAGTGATATCAAGGTCCGGCGTTCATGCAGCTCATCAATAATGAAAACTGTATCAGCACCTTAATAATTTTAAGAGCAGCCCCACGGTATTGCCACTGTGGTCACCAATCTCAAACCATCGGCCGCGTAGCAGCGCCACTACCCACTTAGAATAATTCTCCGGCAGAATTTCAGATATTCACCATGAGGCTACTCCTGCGATGTCCACTGGCTTATGCACACAACTTTGACACGGGCGTAGAAACATTAATCAACTCCACGACATACGAAAGAAGATTGCCGTAAATGTGCTCAGGTTGATTTGGGCTTGGTGTGGAATGAGATGGTGTCATGGGGAAACGGAGACGCCGGTTTGGTTGGGGCTTATGGAAATGAGGGAGGAATTTGCTGGCCTCCTGGTGAGGAATGGAGTGTGAAATTTCAGACACAGCTCG